AATCTTCATCAACATACTTTTCTGCAGCTTCTTTTAATGCTGATAAATCACTGTTAATATGTCTTAACTTCTTTTTCTGTTATACAATAGAGATTCTAATCTCAATTTGGCCAAAATATCATAAATTCTGAATAAATAATAAAACCAATGCAGATTCCTGCAGTAAGGTAAGGTTAAAAGGTTTTAAAGTACTTTTTATGTTTCAGGTTTGCTTACATTCAGCTCAGTTCCTGTTACTGTTAGGGTGCTGCAGTGTCCGCAGCACTTAAAATATTAATTTACTGAGACATAATGTGTTAATAGTAGTGGTTTTAGCTCATGTTCACAGATACTCACATCTAAAATACAAGTGCAGTTATTTTTTAACATATACAGTACTTTATATTTTCTCAAGTGGGAGATGGTTTTTAATTTCAATATATCTTTGACTTCTGACCTATGGTCTCCTACTTGCTATAGGGGCTGTCAGGCATCATGGCTCGGGCTCCAGATCTGAGCTGCATAGAGAATTTCAAAATGAAACTTTGGATAGAATGAATTAAACACTGCACTAAAGTACAGGAAACAAGCCACATTTATTTTGTGGAATTTTTCAGAAACACATAAATTATTCAAAGCGTAATAGGTAAAGCTGTGGGAACAGCTGACTGATGCATTTTTCATAAAAATGGCATACCTTTCAGATACCTTCACCCTCATTAATAGGGCAGACAAGGGGAAGTAGGGCATGGTGTGCAGATGTTCTCTGCTTATCATACAGAGCAGAATATCCTAAATGGAGAAACCATAGTTAAACTTTTTTGTCATGTCCAGATGGCACTGACCATCCTGTGTGTCATTTTGTTGGCAATATTATACAGTGAGGTGAACAAGTACTTAATGCTCAACTTTGCAAGTTTTTTATACTTGCAAAGCATGGAGAAGTCTTTAATTTAATCATAGGTACTTTTCAACTGTGAGCAACAAAAGCCAAAACAAAATCCACAAATCCTGTGTTCTAAGTTTAATAAGTAATTAATTAGCATTTCATCACACAACATAGATGTTTCCTCACCTACCAACCAGTAAGAATTCTGGCTCCCAGAGGCCCATTAGTTCTTCTTTCAGAAGCCCTCCTGTTCTCCACTCACTACCATTATCAACCACACATGTCCACACACTTAATCAAATAAACTCTATCCTCCCCACAATGGCCAAGACCAGAGAGCTGTTTGACATCAGGGACAAAAGAAAAAGTAAACAAGAACACGGCTGAGTTCGACTACAAAAAAAACAGGGGCTGCAGTTTGAAAAGAACACCCTTAGTCACACACTGTGCAGCCGTGGATTAAAATCCTGCATTGCACACAGTCTCCCTGGTAAATCCAGTGATGTAAGTCAATGATCATATGAATGGTGATGAACAGTGTTGCCAACTCCTCAGAAAGGAAA